AGTGTATTATTTGTTGAAACTGTACTTTCGATTTGATTTGAAACTGTCTCATTGCTATATGTTTATCAATAAAACTCTGAAGAGAAAAAAAATAGCCTCTGGAGGAAGAGCCACGAGGAGCCCTGGGCCTTATGCTGGGGTGCCCACCACCCACCTGTGAGCTGCGGACACCTTTAGCTCCATCTCCGAAGTCCTGCTCTGAGAATGAAGCTGAGGATGTCTCTGCCTCAGAAACGTCTTTATAGCAGAAGCTGTTTCCATTGAAGTGTAAGGGATTCTGTGACTTAAAAAGGAAAAGCAGGGCACCTGGGAAGGAAAAACAAACATATTATTTTAGGTTAATTAAATATGTTTTATTTAGTATCTGCCAGGTGCCAAGTATCAAAGGGAACATAAAGTTTAATAAATTCTCCTTTTCGAGAGGTTTCTGATCCCGCAGGGGGAAGAAGTTTGCAAACAAGCAGATAAAGAGTAGAATGTGGGAAGGGAAATGGGGAGCCAAATGCAGCCTCCGTGGCGCAGTGAGCGCGCCGGGTCCCTGCCGGGCTGACAGGCTCCGCTGGAGGGCGTGTTTGAGTGGGGGCGTCTGATGGAGCAGTGGCTGTCCCCGCACCTTCTACATGCCCCGTGCTGCTGAGAGCACCTGACCTCTGCTGAGGCATAATTCACCCGGCACCATGAGGAGGTGACTGCTATTCCTACCTTATGGATGAGTAAAGTGAAGCACAGAGATACAAAACAGAACATCTGTGCTTCCCACCTGGACAGCACCTTTCTTGGAGTGACTTCCCGCCTCCCTTTCATTTCTCTTCTTGCAGCCCTTAGTGCCAGACGTGGATGACACACTTGCAATTCAACCTTCCAAGTATGTGCAGGGGGAGCGGGAGAGCAGGTGCGTCTCCCTCGGGGCTCCCCAGGAATCAGCAAGGACCACAGCTCGGACCCAGATATGGGGACAGCTCTAATTCATAATGGAATGTCTTCCAGACTGCGACGAGGGAACCATAGTTTCCTTCCAAGGAAAGTTTCAACCCGATGATTAGTGATGTGTTCGTCAGTTTTCTGTGACTATAACAAGATAATTAAGATGATCAACTTATAAGCAGAAGAGTGTTATTTTGGCTCGTCGCCTCAAGGCCTCCAGATCAGGCTAGTTGGCTCCATTGCTTTGGGCCTGTAGCAGATCAGCACCTCATGGCAGGAAAGCACGGTGGAGCAAAGGAACTCATTTGCTGGCCAGGGAACAGAAGTGAACAGAAAGTGGCCTGGTCCTGTTATCCCCTCAGTGACCTAAAGGCCTCCCCACTAGGCCCCACCCTAGAAGGTTCTAGCCCTGCCCAATCGCCCTGTGCAGGAGGCTCAGTGCTTAACAACTGAGCCTTTAGGAAGGAAACACTGTAAATTCCAATGAGAGTAAGGCATTCTGCTATTGTTTCTTGTCTTTCAAAATTGCTTTTTCTTGTGATCCTGAAAATAAAAACTCTTTGGAAAAAATTCAATGAAGTAAAAAATAAAATTAAGATGAATCATGATCTTGCTGTCCAGAAAAACACATTATTATGTGTTGGTGTATTTCATTCCAATCTCTTTATCTATAAAGACTTTTAAAACACAGTGTTAGAATTACACTGTTTATATAAATTTGTGTCCACATTATATCATGAACATTTTCCACTGTACTAAAAGTTGTTTGAAAAATGATTTTTAAAGGCTACATGACTTGCTCTCGCATGGACATGCCATAACTCACCCTCTCATTTTATTATTGGAGGACATTTATGTTTTGCCAACTTTTGCTGTTAAAAGCAGTGAGGCAATATCAACAACTGCAGTTTTCCCTTCAAATCCCACCCTGAACCTGCCTCCTATAAAAATGGCTCAACATGTGTAAGATGTCACGAGATGTCTAATTAAGCCATATCCAGTCTTGTTCTTTTGACATCACTGATATAGGAGAAACCAGGTTTTCTGGACCATGGACTTCCCGCTACCACCTGTGCCCAGGAGAAGCTCATCCTCACCCTGCTGTTACCTTCTTCCATACTCTTGGCCATTGATGGACTCAAGGCCATCCTTGCACCATCTTGTTATACCAACTTGTTGCATAATGGCCAAGTAGTCAGCAGTAGCTCTACCTTCACCCTGAATATCAGAAATCTAAGTGAAGAATAAGTTTCCTTCTGCACACAGTCCTCTCCAAGAGCTTAGAAATGAGTCCTTTGGATCTATTTTGGGCTGTGTATCAGGTATATGATGTCTAACCAGCTGCAAAGGCTAAGGATATTGACAGTCAGATCTGTGTCTTCCATCACTCAACTATGGCTTAACAAAGGCAAGCTGTGCATGTACCTGGTCTACCTCAGATCCACTTGGTTAGCCATTTTTTTGTACTCCAGGTCAGGAGTCATATAGAACAAAACAAAACAAGGGAGGTGGAGGGGCCAGAAGAGTGAGGAGCAGTGGGACAGGACACTGAGCTATACCCTGGTTGGTGTGAGGATTGTCAGAATCAAAATGGAGTCAATGGCGTCAAAGCATCCTAAAAATAAAATGAAACAAAATGAGGAGATATTGAAATAGGGGGTTTCATTGTCTTGGTTACTCTTCTCTTATTGGGACAAATATCAGATACTCAGAATGAAGGAATCAAGGTTTATTTAGCTCACAGTTACTGAATGTTTTATTCCATACTCCACTGGCTCCAAGGCAGAGCAACACATGGCAGAGAGCAACCTTTCATGGCAGCAGAAGCAGCAGCTCAAGCAGCTAGCTAACCTCTCTCTCCTCCTTATATTACCTGCCCCAGGGCTGGTGCAGCACCCACACCCACAATAATCAGCAACAAACTCCAGAAGCCACCCCATGACTGCATGAAGCTTGAGGGTGGGGGACGCCTAGACACAAACCATAATGCTCACACATGTGTCTGGTAAGAACTATCACAGAAGATGCCTGCAGAACCACAACCAGCCACAGAGACATTCCCACAGGAGTGTGTGTCCAGCAGTGACTCAACCTGGGGCCAGCTTTTGATCCGGTGGCCAAGAGCTATTGTTTCAAAATGACATATTTAATCATCCTCATTTTGTCTTCAACAGCTTCCCTTTACACAGTCCCCCTTGAGAACATCCAATGTCCTTGTGCTGGTCCATACTGCAATAGCCCCATACAGTGGGCTCAGGAAGGGGACACAGAAGAGTTAAACAGCATCCCAGCAAGGCAGGAAATGTCAGAATAGCTGCCACATCTGGAGGGAAAGTGGGCAACGGGACTCTAGAAATAGTAGAAACAAAGAAGAAATCAGAACTCTTCTCACCTGCTCAAAATGTAGAAACATTTTATTTAGTTCTTGGAAAAACAACAGCCCTCTGACATCCCAGGGTTGTAAATAGTGAGTAATATCTTTGTATAGATAGTTGTTAAAACATTAATACTCAAACAATCAAATGTAGCGATTAATATTGGCAATAGCACTTATAACTAGCCTTGAGAGCTTGAAAAGACCAGGCCCCATTCCGATTTGTTTAATTCTTTGCAATCCCAAGTGTACATCTCCACCTCTATCCTTCTGGATTTCACAGCACATACAGCAGGGAGGACACTGCCTCCTCCTACCAGAAATTCTTGCTTCCCCCACCTTCTAAAACAGCACCTCTCTCCTCTCTGTTCCTTCTAAATTTCCACAACTGGTTCTTCCCCTCCGTCCTAACCTGCTAAATGTCAAAGACTTTCTTCATCTTAGTCTGTGTGGGTGTTCAGTCAAGTACCAGAGATGGAGGCTTAAATGATGGAGATTTATTTCTCACAGTTCTGGAGGTGGAAGCCCAATATCAGAGTGTCAGAAAGGCCAAGTTCTGGCAAGGACCATCTGGATGGGATGCAGATTTCTGGCTCAGTTGTACCCTTGTATGCAGAGGATACTGATGCCACACATGGGTGCTTGACTCTCAGGACTTCACCAACTCCTGGCACCATCACACCATGGGGTAGGAGCTCAACACCGGGCTTTGTAGAGGACACAGCCTTCAGGATGCTGCACTCTCAATCTGTCCCAGGCTCCTCCTTATCATCTCCCGGGCAATCACAGGCCCTTCAAACCAAGCTTGGCAGATGAAATTTGAGATTCTTTATAAATGCACTGCTCCCAAGAATCCCTCTGAGGTCTATGTCTAAGGCTCTCTCTCTCTCTCTCTCTCTCTCTCTCTCTCTCTCTCTCTCTTTCTACTTTTGCCTTCCTGTATCAACCATCTTTTGCATTACTGGACATGAAACCCAAGATCCGCAACTTAAAGAGAGGTTTAATATGGCTCAGGTTTTAAGGGGGTTCAGTCTCTGGTCAGCCAGCTCTGAGGCATGAACTTCATGGCAGAAGGGAGTGGTAGACCAAAGAGGCTCAGTTCATGGGGGCAAGGGAAGCCATGCAAGAGAACAGTGCCAGAGAAGGGGCCAGGGACTGGACACATACCCCAAATTTATGCCTTCAGCATCCACCCAAACACCCAAAGGGTGCTCTCCCTGTCCTCAGATGGATCCCAAAAGCAATCAAGTTGACACTCCACACTTACTGCCACACATTTATTTTGTACTGCTAGAAGTCTATCCCCAGCACAGCAGTCACAGTGATTCTAGTGGAATCTAGACATTTTTGAGCTGTTCTTTCCTTAAATCAGAGTCCTGGTGAGCTCCCATCTTCCCCAGTGGCCCTCAGTGGCTCCACTGAGCCCACAGGCCCTATCCTGGCCACCCCTGCTCCCATGACCACACTGCATGCTCCTCTCCCCTCTTGCCCTGGTCTACTCTCAAGGGCTCTCTCCCAAGGTCTGGACACTTCTTATTTATCCGGCACCTATGTGGCTCACTCCCTCACTGTTGGGCACTACCTGGCCTCACACATCACTTCTGACCATCCCTACCATGTGATCAGCCCCCCTTCTGTCCTCTTACACTGAGGGGCAGGATCCATGCATCTATCACTTGGGGTGCACAGTGGGTTCCGTGTTTATTTTTTATGGTTTGTCCTTCACTTCCCACTCTGCAGGATAAGCTGTGTGAGGTCAAGGACTTTGCCGTGTTCCCTCCTGTCCTCCCTTCAGTGTGGCTACATTGGCTACACTCACTCAATCCGCGACAATGTGTCAGGAACATCCTGCAGGAACCTAGTGTGGAGAAGCAGGAGCACTCTACCTCAGGAGGGGTAAATAAACAGATGCGTGGTCAGGAGAGGAGCATAACACGGGATAACACCCTTGGGATTTCATCTTCTATTACTAAATCTCACCAACAATAAAACATTCCTCCCCCAACGTTAGATGACATTCAAAATAATCACTGTAGTTACAGCTGCATTTTAGTGACATGCAACCAAGCTTCAATTTGGCACATGTTTTCATGATGTCCCCTTTAATAAACAATATGTTCTACATGGAAGTTAATTTGGAGAACTCTCGTTAACAGACTTGGCTTCCATCACACACAGACTCAGCAGCATGGATGTGCTCCCAGAGGATGCTCCTGGTAGTTTGGACTCCTTCCTCCTGCTTGCACCTCACCTTAGGTCCACCACGCCTGCTTGGAGCTGAAACATGGAAAGCGACCAGGAACAGCATGGGCCTCGCAAAGCCCAGGACACAGGCTGGAGCAGCATGTGTGAAGAGTCCTTACTTTGTGTGATGAATGAAAATTTAAACTCATATACCAAATATTTAAATTTTCAAGCTTCCTTTAAAATTATATTTTAGTTCTTCTTTTTAAATTGTTGATTGGTTTAAAACTAAAGCGTAAACAAGGTGATGCATAATTTTTTTTTCGGTCTTGGGGATGAAACCCAGTGCCTTATGGATGCTAGGCAAGCATAGTTCCACCACCCAGCTACACTCCCTGCCCTGAGTGACCACTTTTATCACGACAGAGTTACAGTGAATGATTTTTCCATGTAGAAGAGAGGCTGTGAAACAGGTACACTGCAGGCAGGAAGTGGGTACACTGCAGGCAGGAAGTGGGTACACTGCAGGCAGGAAGTGGTACACTGCAGGCAGGAAGTGGGTACACTTCAGGCAGGAAGTGGTACACTGCAGGCAGGAAGTGGATACACTGCAACAGGAAGTAAGTAGCATCATCATTATGATGAGGAAAAGGATGCAGAGTAGAGTTACATAGCCTGATGTGAATGACAGAGCTGAAAAGTGGCCGTGCAAAGGCTTAGAGCAGCGTGAAGTGACCACCTGTCCTCTCAATGAGAACTTCCACTTGACTCTGCCTTTGGTTGACCCTGGCACACACATTTTATTTATAGCTAAGTGGTATTTGTTGTGCCAATTCCCATACCCTTAATCAAATTACGATGAATTTTCCAAACCTCTGGCCTAGTGATTCCATTCTTAGGAGGAACCCAAGAGAAAAGAGTCCATGTAAAACAAAGAGCTACATGAGCTCTGTTCATAGCAGCACAGAACCCAGACCAAGAGGGCGAATATGTGGTTTTTATCTATACCACATCCAAAGCAAGAGAAATGAATTGATGAGGGACAGAGGTCAGAATGGGGATTGCCTTGGGGAGGACTGAGAAGGCAGGCAGCAGGGAGGCTTCAGGAATGCTCGCAGAGTTGGAATCCTGAACTGGGTGCTGGTTGTACAGGTGTATACACATGTAAAATGTTACTGCGTGCATGGTCTTAAGTGTATCTTAAGAATTTAACCCCTGTTATTCCTACAGAAAAAGAAAAGACTCAAACAAAAGAATCCCTCCAACTATTACAAAAGTGAAGCTCCAAGTCCTGCAAAGGAAAAAAATACCTGGACCAAGTCAGCAGCCAATACTTCTCTCCCCTACCTGGGCTCAGGGTGCCAGATAAGCAACTCCCTGGCAAAATGGCATCAGAGTTGGCCTGGCCTGTTTCCTGCTGAGTCAGCTGGTCCTTCCTTTGCCCTCCCATAATGGAGAGCAGAGGAAGAGGCCAGGCTTGAAGGACAGCAGGGAGAGCAGAAGGCACCCCTGAGCTCTTGACCCCGCCAGCTTCCATGGTCAAGTGGTCGAGGATGTCGCCCTGCTTCCACACAACACAAGAAGTGCATTAATCAGCAGCCAGCAGGACAGGCCAGCTTAGCACAGGCCAGGGATTATGGCACCACTCAGCACTGCTCAAGTGTCTGACACCATCCCACAAGATGATCACAACTGGGCATACAAGGATCGTGACTGACCTCTCTTTACTGTTCTGCCCCTTCCAGAAAGTCAAGTGTAGCTTGTCTGGCATAAGCATTTACAGCGGAGCCCAGAGGCCTTGTTAAATGGATCCCAAGCACATGCACGGCTGCACACACACCTGGGTGCACAGAGACCTTGTGACCCACACTGAACGGAAGGAAATTCACCTGCCTTTCCAGCTGTGAGAGGAGCCATTCATCCTTTTGCTTCCTGAGACCGTGCCCAGCCCTTTGTTATAAGATGGTTTGACCTTTGCAGCACCAATCCCAATTCTTTATAAATGAAAGATGTAATTAATGGCCCACCTTGCAGTTGAAGGTATAGAAACACGCACTGTCTTCTAAAACCTGAAACACATTTTAACAATGACTTGAATTTTGTGTCTCCTGGATTGTGGTCCTGATAAGCTCCAAATAAATGTAATTCTGCTTTGTTCTCTACGAGGTTGATTTTAGCTCAGCCAACAGCATATCGCATTTTTCTTGCTCAAAACTTCACCATACAATACCACTTTCTACTGGAAATGGCTTTCCAGGAGAAATTCTTTAGCAATCATAGTAAAATTTATCTATCTACACTTTGCACATGTCTGTCACTTCCTGCTAAAATACGAAGTGATTTCCAACTGAAAAGCACTTCTGACTGCAGAAATGAGCTAAAGGTTTTGCAAAGATACTCTCTCTGCCTTGTGTTCTGCGTGGACTCCTTGTCCAGGGGTCTGAGTCCACAGCCCTAGGCTCTTAACCACCTCTTCCAAAGGCCAAGACTTGGGGACAGAGGTAATGCTTTGAGATAAAGTCCAATTGTGGGTATTGCTTTAGAATTTTTTTTTCAAAAATACTTGTGATGTGATTCCAAAATAACACTCACTCATGTGAGAGTCCACAGAAAATTTAGACAGCACATAAGTTGCAAGTTCTCACATAAAAAAGATCGGGATATTTTAACTTTCTCTGGCTCTGTCCCCTGCATTGTGAGGGTGCCCTGGACATCTCTGTCCCCTGCTCCTTGGTGGCAGAGTTGGGCTCATGCCACCACAGATGGGAACCATGTCAAGCACACTAAAGCAGAGCAGACTCAAGATTTTCATTACGGAACAATTATACCTACAGGACAATACATGTAAAAGAATGGGAACATAAAAACGAGGTAAAGAGATATGGCTACATCTCAGTACCCAGAGTCATTTAATTATCCCACCCCAGTTACCCAAGGACTGAGACTGGTACCATTTGGGGTTCTGGTCCATGTGTAGAGTAGATGACCCCAATTATCTCCCTCAATTAGAGAAAACCCGGTCATCTCATAATTCTTCCAAACCCAACTCAAGGTGGGGAGGAGAGATTACCTAACAGAAACTGTCTCTTCCGTTTTCTTGGGAACTCCTGGTGCATTTTAGGCTCATGAAAGATATTCATGAAGAGAAAAGAATGCACTTTACAGCTCAGGGGGCCCTGTCCCCCAGAGCACAGGTACTGCAGGAATTAGACAGAAGTCTTGCACTATTGTACTGAGCATGACAGAGTAATGTTTCAATTTGCGAGATGTTTTGAGAAGGAAACCAAAACAGAGACGATTGCAAACACGGGGTCAGAAATCATCACAAGTGGCAGCTTTGAATCCCTGCCTCCCTCTTGGGTCCTGGGTCCCTAGAGGCTGGTCTCAGGCTCCAGCAAAGCCATGGAATGGGGTATGGCTCGTGCGGAAGGGTCCCTTCTTCTGCCCTCTGGTGGTCAAAGTCCCCTCTGAGTACACTGTTCCTACTCGCCAAGAGTTACAGGTGGCTCACACTGACTCCTACAAGCCTCCTTTCTTTTCTCTTCAAGCCTCTTTTCAATAAATGTTCATTCTTTCTCCCCAGCACCTGGCAAGCCGCCTAGAGCAGAGTATGGGCTCAGCAAGCATCTGCTGAATTAAATTTTAAAAACAAGTATTTGGGTTGGGGAGATAGCTTGGTGGTCTAAGTGCCTGCCTGGCAAGTGCAAGGACTCAAGTTCAATGCTCAGTACCGCATGCAGACCTGGCTCTGCCCCGGGGGCTCCCTGCTGGCCACAGAAACTGAGCACGGTAGTGCAGGTCTGTAATCCCAGCACTGAGGAGGCTGAGATGAGAGGATTTCTATGAGTCTGAGCTGTGTAGTGAGACCCTGTACCAAACAAACAAATAAATAAATAAATAACTTTTAAAAAAGCATGTACTTGATTCCCCTGGATGGGTACAAATCCCCTGGGAGACAAGGGAACCACACCAACACTCCATTGCCCCAAGCTACCCCCGTCTGGTATACAACCTGGACTGGGCACCTAAGTGGGACAGCAGGCTCTGACCTTCTTCACGAGCTTGCCACTGGAATCACTCGCCACATTCATTCTTTCTTTGTTTTCCAAAGATGGCCCTGTCCATCCTCTTGGATAGCTGCTACCTCTCCCCCACCACTCCTGATGCAGTACCTGCTCCCTCCTGCTGGCTAGCTGAAATCCCTGTCCCTCTGCCCCTGTGGTCATCTGGGACATCTTTCCTATGCAGTGCCACATCCTAGGGCCACAACCAGTTCCATACTACCTTGGGCCTCAGAGCCTTACAAGGCCACTGATAGGGATACAGTTCCCCCCACTGCACTGGGTAGCCTTGTTCATTTCACTTCCCCGTCTCTGTAAAACAACAACAACAAAATGCCATGCCTTCTCTTCACTTGGACTGGAAAACTAATCTGCCTCACTCTTGAAATCTCCCAGCCTCTTACCACCCTCCACAGCCCTCGACTAAGCCTGAACGCTTCACAAGCCTTTCTGCAGGGCAATGCCCAACCTGTGGCTGCAAATCACAGTACTAAGTGGCTTTAATTGAAAACTCTAAGTGCAGGTGGCACAAGGGTCAGCTCGGAGGCACCAGTGCAGCTGATTCCACAATCCTTTCTATTTTGCTACCAGCTCCCTCCCTAGCAACATGTCCCACTACAGCTGTTTCCAAGGGGTTGCTGAGAGCAGAACCTTTGTACCCACCTGCTTCCCTCTTGTTAGGAAGAAAAGCATTTCCCAGAGGCCTCCCAAAGGCCTCTATTTTCATCTGTTAGTATCCTTACTGTGGAGACTGAGCCCACCTCTCCCAAGGCAGAGGGTCTCCTCCCAGATGAATAGAATTTATTCTTCTAGCCAGGTACATGGAGGAATATCTTTGTCTAGACAAACAAGTATCTGCAACAATAAAATAGATGCCCACAAGGGCATTCATGATATCACATCAGATCAGAGGGGGCAGCTTCAGGGCAGCTCCAGGGCTAACTGGCCAACTGAACAATAGTCCTGTTTCCAAAGAAGACAGAGACAAGTAAGAAGAGCTCCATCTGGTGATCTGGTCATGGTGTGAGCATCACAGAGCACATGCAGCAGTTGATTGTTCGTGGTCAACTTGAGAAGTCTAGAAGTTCAGCTAAATCAGCTCAGCTATTCTCCCCTAGGGTGGCTCATCACCTGGAGGGAAACGAGAAAGGACAGACAAATTTCCATTCTTTGGAGGAGCTCTAGTCTTCGCCTTCAGCTTGGACATCATCTCTTGGCTTCTAGTACTCCTTCCACCTTGGTCCCTACAGCCTCCTGTCACACACCCATCAGCCTCCTGACGTGGACCCACACGGAACACTGCAGTGAGCTCTAGACCTTGGACGGAACCCTTCAGTCCCCAGTGTGCAGACGCCCTCTGCACACTTCCACATCCGACTCTGTGCCTGACCACTGTAAGCCAATCTTTTGATTTCTTACACATTCGTGTATCTTGTGTTATATGTGTTTCTCTAGGAAAGCCCTGACTGATACAGTGTACTCACACAAACAGGGTGATGTGAGTCAGTCACTCAGTGTAGTCATGTAGTAGAGCCAAGAGATGCCATGAACATCAGATGTTTGGGGTTGTTTCCAGTGCAATGTGGCATACTGCATTAGAATAAACAATGTTTTAAGTAGAAGCAGTCCACTCCCAAAATACCAACAAAAAGCATAGCACAAGCGAGGAATGGTAGTGCCCACCATCTACAAGAAGCATCCTCCACAGTCCTTGAACTGGTTGGACTCTCTTCCTAGTTCCCTCAATCTCTGCTTCACAGATATTCAATGAACTCTAGTTGCAAAACTTCCTCATATATTTTGTCTACCCATTCCTTCATTTTCACCTCAATAAATTAGAAGTATCCCATTTCTGCCTGCTGAACCTATCTCTGTACTTCTCCCTGGCTATCCTGGGGAAAAGGATTATTCTTTTTTTTTTTTTTTAGAGGATTATTCCTCACAACTACCAAACTCCAAGTATAGCCAGTGACACTATGAGGGCCACAGAAAGGGCCGGCCAGATAGCTCAGCAGACTCAAGCACCTGCTTAGGCAGAGCGCAGTGGCTGGGGTTCGATCCCTGGTGTGCCATGCTTGTTCCGCTCCTGAGGTGCGCTGAGATGGTGATTGAGACTGGCCGTGGTGGCGCACACCTAAAATCCCAGCGCTTGGGAGACTGAAAACAGCAGAATCACTACGAGTCCAATCTATGTAGTGAGACACTTAGACACTGCAAACCCTGTACCAAATACATTAAAAACACAGTGCAGGCCACAGTCCTAGTGGTCTTCCAGCCCCAGACCATATGGGGCCTTTTCAAGATGTCTTCTTCTACCAATATGAGATCCAGTGATGCTCCTCTTCCCTCCACTCCACTCAATGTGACAGGACTCTAGGTGCTGACCTGTAGAAAGACCCTGCATCCCCAGAATGAACTACTGGACTAGGAAACAGAGGAAGTGGGGACGCAGTAGCAGAACTGCCACACACACAGTAGACACACCTGCTACTCTCTGAAGGGAGGGCAAAGGCAGAAGCAGCCCCCACCCCCAAAGAATAACCCAGACAATGTGCAAATGTACCAAAACATTCCACCAAGTGAATGCAGAGAGACCTTGATACCCATCATGGGTTTTTGTTTAATTTGCACCGATTCATTCTTCGGGCTGTAAGTTGTACACATTAGAGCCAATGCATGACATCAGTGGAAAGTACCTGCTGCTACAGTGCCACACGGAACAGTTCCACTACCTTACATGCCCTGTCTTAGTTATTTTTCTCCTTGGTGAGACAAAATACCCAACACCCAAAGTTAAAGAAGGAAAAGTTTGTTTAGATCACAGTATGTAAATGTATTATTCCATAATTGGCTGGCTCTGAGGCAGGTGACACCACAGCAGAGAGACCATTCACGGAAGGTGATAGGTTGCAAAGCAACAAGCAGTGACCATAGCTCTTCTTTCTGTCCCTTGTATCTTATCCAGTATACTCAGGGCAGGCAGCACTCATACCCTCAATCCTAGTGCCCTTGACCTAGCATCACACTATGAATCGGTCCCAGCGTCACACACTCTAGACCCAGCCACCTCTGAGAAAGCTCCACTCCATGAGGCCGTGGGAGGACAACTGGAAACAAGCCACAACACACCCCTCCCTCCTTGAACCAGTAGCAAATATTGTGTCTCTGTAGTTTTCCTTTTCTAGAGTGTCCTAGGTTGGAATCACATCATATGGGGCCTTTTCAGTCTGTCTTCTTCCATTCAGTAATATCCGCTTGAGAGTCCTCTCTCTCCTTTCGGGAAATGGTAACTCACTGCAAGGACGAGCCATGATTTGTTTATCCATACACCTACCGCAGGATATCTGGGCTGCTTCCAATTTGCAGCAATTATGCGTAAATCTACTATAAATATTCATGTGCAGGTTTTGTGTGGACATCAGTTTTCAACCATTTGGGTAAAAACTAAGGATCGTCATTGTGGAATCATATGGAAAGACTATGTTTAGCTTGCTAAGAAACTGCCAAATTGCTTTCAAAGTGGCTGTACCATTTTGCATTTCCCACCAGCAATGAATGACAGTTCCCATTGCTCTACATCTCTGCTAGCATTTAGTATTGTCAGGTTTTTGGATTTTAGCCATTCTCACAGGTGTGCAGTGGTTTTAATTGTTATTTTAATTTACAATTCCTAATGCCATATGATTTTTAGGAGCTTATTTGCCTATCTGTGTATCTTTGAAGCTGTCTCTTCAAATCATTTCCTCACTTTTACATGAAGATACTTATTTTTTGTTAAGTTTTATGAGTTCTTTTTACATTTTGGTTGCAAGTCTTTTACCAGATATTTGTTTTGCAAAGATTTTTGCACAGTCTGTAATTTGTCTTTCCATTCTCTTAACAATGTCTTTAGCAGGAAAAAAAAATAATTTTGACCAAGTCCAACTTACTGATGCCTTCTTTCATGGATTCATACTTTTGGTATTCTATCTAAAAGCAAACATATTTTTTTCTTGTTTTCTTCTTGCAGCTTTACAGTTTTATGTTTTACATTTAGGCCTGTGATTTGTTTTGAGTTAATATTTATAAATAGTGGAGAGTTTATGTCTAGATTATTTTTGCTACATAGATATTTAATTGTTCCAGCATAAAATGTCAAAAAGACTATGCTTGTGCTATTGTATTACCTTTCCCAACTATTGTTTGAGTATATTCACGTAGGAGTATTTCAGGGCTTTCTATTCTATCTCACTCATGCATGCCCTCTTTCACCAATACCATGCTTTTTTTTTCAGAACCGGGGATTGAACTCAGACCCTTGCACTTGCCAGACAAGCACTTATTCTACTGGGCCATCTCCCCGGCCCACATCACACTTTCTTGACTACTGTAACTTTATAGCAAACCTTGAAATAAGGTGGTGTCAGCCTCCAATTTTCTCTTCCTTCACCATTCTGAATTTCCATATAAACACTGGGTCTTCTGCCTTATGCTATAAGCTTTTAAATTTGTCAATATTCACAAAAATATCTTGCTGGGATTTTTCATTGGTATTGTATTCAGCCTGTGGATCCAATAGATTGAATATGATACCCAAATTGGGAAAAATAGGCATCTGAACAATATTGAATTTTATAATAAGCACAAAATATCTCTTCATTGTCTAAAATATTAGATTTTTTAAAATTTGTTTTAATATTGTTTTGTAGTCTTCTGTACATGGATCTTGTACATATTTTGTGAGCTTTTTTTTTTCTTTTCAAAGTTTTATTGATAAACATATAGCAATGAGACAGTTTCAAATCAAATCGAAAGTACAGTTTCAACAAATAATACACTGCATATTTGTGAGCTTTATACTTAAATTTTTGTTTTGATTTCTGATGTTCATAAAAATGATTACACCTCTTTTCACAAAAAGGATTGAGGAATATCTTTCTGAACATTAAAATGGCTAAAATAGTGAGAGTTCTATGTATGCATTTACTGCAAAAATAAGGCTATTTTGTGCTTTAACCCTGACTATCCACCCCCTCAAAATGAGCTTTGGGAAGAAAAGCAGTGATAGCGAGTAAATGGATATTTATCTGAATTTTCTAAAAGGAGAAAGAAGATTATTGGGTTGGAGAGTTAATAAGTTGCAAGTCTGAGGTAGTCTTGAGAACCCTTTAAGAATTCTAACAAATCCAAAACATTGGAAAATTTGGCAAGAAAAAAGTAAAAACAAGTTTCTGCTTTGAATAACCCATCATTTCCTAAGGCCATCAGGAATTTGCTTGGCCCATCAACTAATCAACTCCACCTCTGTCTATCTTCTTCCTAACTGTGGCAATCCCAGGGACACAGCCTGGGCAGAGCCTGAAGTACTTTGCAAAGTACTATCAGTAACTGAAAGCTGAGTAAGACCATTTCCTACAAGTACCCTGACCTTCACAGCAGACTTGTCCACCATCTTGGAGGTGTTGGCTCACAAAGGTTGGAGCCCATTTAGGTTAACATAACCAGAATGGAGGAGCCCTAAAGATAGGTGGTGTCCTCACAGGTCTCTGAGGGTCTAGGAGAAGACTACAAGAAACATATGTAGAATTGAGCACAGAAATGAAAGCATTCTTGTCATAGCTATGCAGAATAGTCAAGAGGCCATGAAAACGAATGCTCCTGTAATTAAGGATGGCTCTAAAAACCGGCCCCTAGGCCCACTCAAAGAGATGGGCTGCTTTGATTTTTAAGAAAACTAACTACTCAGCTACCAATGATGAAACTACCCATTGTGACATTAAGACTAGCTGCCCCACTCACTTCTCAGAGCTTGCCAGCTGATGAGAGGTACTAACAACGCTGATAAACTTGTTTTCAAAACAATTTATGTGGTTTTCCCCCTCCCCCTACCCCAAATCCCAACTTTTTGTCCTTGGACATATTGGAGGGCACCCATGTGTCTAAGATTGCAATCTCAATTTTTTTTGTTACTCTTAAATCAAACTTATAACTTGATTTAGTTTTGATACCATAAAAGGACTCAGGTGAAATGGGAAAAACTCACAGGGCAATCCCCCATTGTAGCTTTTTAATTGTTGTTTATCATGACTTTTCCTCCTCTGGACAAGCAGATGGAGCAAAGAGACTGACTGTAAACTTATGCTGTAAAGAGTACACAAGTAGGTGCACTTTCTCGGTGGACTCCCTCCATACCTGCATCAAGAGAGCCCTTGTATGACTCTGAGGAGCATCAGAATCCTGTGGAACATCTGGCATAGCTCAGATTTCCAGACACC